AACTGGAAGGCAAATTTTCGATTCCAGCCTTAAAGAAATCTGTGCATCTCTCAGAAGTGAATGTTTAAAAGACTGTTTTCAAATTCTTCCTTTCCAAATATTTAGGTCCTTATGAAATTTTCTAATGATTGAAACAAAAGAAAAATCCCTCTGCTATATTTTTTGTTCTTTTAGTTTCTTTTACAAAATGCGTCCTTGCTTTGCTATCTGGAGAAACTCTTGTCTGTCTGCCATAGAATGTGCGGCTGGTAATATAAATAACTGCTCAGATTGAGAGACAGAAGAGACGAGTTCGAATTCGAGTCGGTTTCATTGCATTCACTTATCTCCTTAAATGGGAGGAGTTTTATCTTGAAAAACAAAATCATTTTTGTTGTGGTAGGATCCACCTAATTTACATAGTGGAGTACCGACCATATAAATATGGTTGGTACCGGGAAGACGGGGGAAGGAAGAAGAGATCCAATCCAGAGACTCTGCCCGACTGCGACTAAGTCAACCCATTCTACAGGAACGGTCTTCCCAAGAATATACCAAACTAGCTGTAAATATTGTGTACACGTTCTTGTGTCAATACATTTTGTTTAAGTACATTTTGTGTTGTATTATTATTATTCCATGCTTTATTCAAGTTTCAACAATTTTTATTCTAAAAAATTGTTAATGCAATATTCTCTCACCGTATACACGACAATACTGAAAGAATTATAAATCCTACCAGGATTCATTATTGGCAGCCACAATCCTAACAATTTATGATATGCAGATGACATATTTTTGATGATAGGCATGGAATGAAAACTGCAAAAACTCCTACAGAATGTAGTAAAGGAAAGTGAGATGAAAGGATTATACATCAACTGCAAGAAGGCAAAAGGCATAGTTGTTAACAAAAGGATGCGCGCAAAATGCGAATTGCAAATCGGAGATACCAAAATCAATCAAGTAGAAAAAATTAAATATCTGGGAAAGGACGGAAAATACGACACTGACAACAGAAGATGCATTAGGATGCATTCCAAAAGCTAAGCAGATCATTAAGAAATAGAAATCAGATGTTTAATATAACTCCTTCAAATTGAAAAAGGTCCTTGAATCAACAGAAATATAGTTCTACAGAAGGATGCTGAGGATAACACGGACGGAACATTTAAGCAGAATTCTTGTAAAAAAATGAAAACAAAAAAGACACTTATAGGTAATATCAGTAAGAAACAGTTGGAATTTCTAGAGCTCATCCTGAGGAAAGCGGGTTTGGAAAATCTGATACTCCCAGGACAGATTGAAGGTAAGAGGGACAGAGGAAAATAACGCATAACATACTTAGTGAGCTTGATTAAATGGATGGCGGAACAGGGTTTAGGGGACATAACAAAAGAACTACAAAGGACAGGAAACTGGGGAGAGCCATGATCTCCAAGGTCCTGAAGAGATACGCTACATAGAAAAAGAAGAATGAACTTGTGTAAATGGATGGCACGTCAGGGTTTAGGAGAGATAACAAAAAGACATAATTTACTAAGAGCTACAAAAGACAGGAAGAAGACAGATTGCATAGTTGTTAACATATATACATATATACATACATATGAAAGTGTTTAGAGGAGATTTCGGTTTACCCCACTTCCTAAAGTCAATATTTGATGATTCCAAAGAACCAAGACAAAATACAGGGTGCGATGGATGAATTGTCGTCTGAATGACGCAACTGGCATCTCATTTTAACAAATACACAGGGTGCGATTAATGAATTGTCGTCTAACGGCCGCAAACATGAAAAGTAACACTGGGGTCTCATTTGAATAGATATACAGGGTGCGATGGATGAATTGTCGTCTGAATGACGCAACTGGCATCTCATTTTAACAAATACACAGGGTGCGATTAATGAATTGTCGTCTAACGGCCGCAAACATGAAAAGTAACACTGGGGTCTCATTTTAATAGATATACAGGGTGCGATGGATAAATTGTCGTCGAAATGACACCAGAAATGAAAATAACACTGTCATCACATTTTAACAGATATACTGTAGATTGCCCAGCTTAGTTATTGGGATTCAATCCTATCAAATGAGTGGAAGATATAAATAGAACCAAGATAGATAGATAGATAGATAGATAGATAGATAGATAGATAGACAGAAAATGTACATATATATATTTATAGCTAGATAGCTAATGATACTAGATAGAAAGATAATGGAGTGAATCAGATAGATAGATAGATAGATAGATAGATAGATAGATAGATAGATAGATAGATAATGAACCGAGATAGATAGAAGATAGATAGATGGATAGATAGATAATGAACCGAGAGAGATAGATAGATAGATAGATAGATAGATAGATACGAAAGGGTTTCGACCACTTCCTAAAGTCAATATTTGAAATCAGACTACAGAATTTTGGAAGTGGGTATGAACAAGAAACCTTTCACTATAACCTTGGTGATTGACAGATAGAAAGAACAATATTTGATAGAAAAATATTTCATTACATTAGGTGCGTGCAAAAAGTTTTCCAGCGGGAAAAAAAAAAAGAAAAGAAATTCTTTTCGAATGTGTATTTACTTCCCATTTATCATAAAAGCGTATCGAAAACTGTAGCACACGAATGAAGAATGATGTTTTCAAAAGAGAGAAAGAAGGGAATATTAATTGTGAGAAAGAGATTGAGATTAATCAAGGTAGACGGGCGTAAGAAAATGGAGAATGAGTTGATATGTTTTGGTTAATTTTGACAGTTCATCTGGTCAAGGGGTCAACATATTAATTCTGTTAAAATTAATTGCAAGACGACAGAATGCTTTGTTGTTTGGAAATGCTCAGCGACTTTGACAGATTTGGGAAGGATATTAGAATTTATCAGAACCTGTATTGGCATCAAAACGACTGCAGACATATAGGAAACGAGTTCAGCATATATACAAAAATAGAAAGGGATTTAAGACAGGGATGTGTCTTCTCACCGGACTTGTTCAAACTATACAATGTGGCTATTGAAAGAGAATTAAAAGTCCTACCAAGATTCATTATTGGCAGACACGATCTTAACAGCATAATATATGCAGATGTCACAGTATTAATGACAGGCATGGAATGAAACTGCAAAAACTCCTACAGAATATAGTAAAGGAAAGTGAGATGAAAGGATTATACATCAACTGCAAGAAGGCAAAAGGCATAGTTGTTAACAAAAGGATGCGCGCAAAATGCGAATTGCAAATCGGAGATACCAAAATCAATCAAGTAGAAAAAATTAAATATCTGGGAAAGGACAGAAAATACGACACTGACAACAGAAGATGCATTAGGATGCATTCCAAAAGCTAAGCAGATCATTAAGAAATAGAAATCAATTGTTTAATATAAGTCCTTCGAATGCTGAACAATCTCCTCAAAGATGAAGAAGAGTCTTGAAGCAACAGAAATGCGATTCTACAGAAGGATACTGAGGATACCATGGACGGAACATTTAATCAAAATTTTGTAGAAAATGAAAACAATAAATGAAACTTATCATTGACACCAGGAAGAAACAGTTGGAATTTCTAGAACACATAATGAGAAAAGAGAGCTTGGAAAATCTGATACTCACAGGACAGATTGAAGACAAGAGAGATAGAGGAAACAACTTATAACGTGCTTAGTGAACTTGAGTAAAGGGATGATGGAACAGGGTTTATGAGATATAACAGAAAGACAAAATTTAAAAAGAGTTAAAAAAGACAGGAAGTTGTGGAGAGCCATGATCGCCTACGTCCTGATGTGACGCGGCACATAAAGAAGAAGATATATATTTGAAATAATCCAGGACGGAAGAAGGGAAAGGCGACAAAGTAAGAGTATAAAACTTAACAGAGAGGAAGAGAAAGAAAGAGTGAAAATAAAGAGAGAGAAAACAAAACAGAGAGGAAGAAAAAAAAAAGAAAGGGACTCATCTAGTTAAGCACAGTTGGAAATCTGACACGAGTTAAAATAAGCTTGACCTATATTTTAAAATATTAATATCTAGTTTCGCTAAGGATATTCAATCTTTAAAACTTAAATTGCTTTATTTACATTATTCAGACTAATGTCCTCATCTTTGTCGCCATATTTATCACAACGTTTCGTCCGTTGTACGCTCCGGCCTTCTTCAGGTGGTTGACCACATATGGAGAGAGAAGGGAGATCACCGCCCTCTGTGGGATCCTGTTGAGATCATAGAAAAGAACACCATTGGAAAATTCGTAAACTTAAAGAATCAGCACATATGCTAGGCCACAAAAATCTCCTAAGCCGACCAAGCATAGAAATAAATACAATATGGGAACCAGTAATAAGGAGTGCCAGAGAAAAGCAATGATAACAACAAAAGTTGCAATATGAGCTCTGGTAAAAACATGTTGATATCAGCAAAATTGCAATATGAGCACTAGTAAAAATGGTTGCTGAAGACATTAGGTTTATAATACCCAGAAATTCATACCCAGATGTCCTCAAGGCACAGTGGATAAATGCATTGGTTAGATCCAGTGATACCCAAGAGTGTGAGTTCAATACCCGGTTAAGGCAGTGGAGAACTTTCATAGGGAAATTAGCTGGAGATAACTGATAACTGACATTCATCAAAATGGAACCACCTGAAGAACGGCCGAAACGTTGTAATAAATATGGCGACAAAGATGAGGACAATAGTCCGAATAATGTAAAAATATATATTTAATATGGTCATCCACATACAGGCCAGTATGTCAATATATCTATATAATCAATATATATATGTTTATACATTCTTTTTATAGATAAAAATACTTAAGTAAATGCTCTGTTTATAATAAACAGTGTTAAACAAAATTTACAGGCCTGAAAATATTTTCACAGAAAATATTCGTCCTCCGACAGGATACGAACCTGTATCCGATACGGAACCTTCATATAGCCTGACGTGGCTTTTAACAGATTCAGCCACAGAGCATGGCTCGATTAGCATGGTCGAATTTACATCTTTTAAACTTCAATCTTCCATGAATTTCTCACGTACATTCATATCTGCTTATGGCGTATCAAATTTAAACATATGACGTCACACATTATGAAATGGACAAAGTCAGACAATTGTGTTAAGACATTTTTATGTTTATACATTCTTTTTATAGATATAAATATTTAAGTAAATGCTCTGCTTATAAGAAACAGTATTAATAACATTTACCGGCCTGAATGTCCGAGAAATTTTCATAGAAAATATTCGTCCTCCGTCGTGACGTCATCATATATATATATATATATATATATATATATATATATATATATATATATATAAATGTATATATATATATATATATATATATATATATATATATATATATATATATATATATATATATATATATATATATATATGGTCATCCACATACTGGTTTGTTTCGCTACTTCACAGCTCATCTGTGTGGCTAGGCGTCCGATTGCTTAAAACTGGGATCGAAACCCTACTGATTAGGCATCAGTTGGAGATCCTACCACTAAGCTATCAGAGCATGGCAGAGAGAAAGGGGGATTCTAACGCACTGTCTATGGATGTAAACAAACGCCATTAGCCAATTAGTGCCCAATTAATGCCCAATTAGTGGCCAACTCATTAATGAAGAGCGGTGCATTAATAGCGGTGACTGCCAGGGTTTTTGGAATCACCACTCCCCCAAATGTGTTCGATCGAATAGACGAGAGCTTCTTTAATATGTCCTCCACATACTGGCCTGTTTCGATGTATCACAGGTCATCAGTGTGGTTAGACATCCGATATAGCATAAGTACTATTATATTGTGCATTGATCGCAGTAAGAAAATAAAACTAATATATTATACTAAATTTTACGCAACCAACCTAAACATATACCATAATGCTACTCCGTCAACTTGCAAACACTGGATAGAAGTTTAAATGTCCTTTGGGAGATTTGTCCTGGGTATGACGATAAACTACATCCGCGTCCTGGATAAGACGATAAAATACGTCCAACAGCAAGATCTATTTTATTCAGTTTAGGCACTGCCTATCTTGCCTACCTAGACAGCACTTACCTCACACACACACACACACACACACACACACACACACACACACACACACATATATATATATATATATATATATATATATATATATATATATATATAAAGCGTGAAACCCAGGGTCACAAACTCACATCTATCCAACCAAATATATATATATATATATATATATATATATATATATATATATATATATATATATATATTTATTTATTTCAATTGAAAGGTGCAATTATAATTTATAAATTCATGAATCATTCATACAAAAAAAATATAGAGGTTAATGATTTAAATGGCGAGAAAATGTTTGCGACGATGTATTCTCGCCATTTAAATCATTAACCTCTATATTTCATGAATTATATATATATATATATATATATATATATATATATATATATATATATATATATATACTGGCCGGTGCGTTTTACCCCCGAACCACCTGACCTGGGAGTGGGGTAATCCCAGTCTGACTGGAGGCCCCGGGCTTTTTGTGACTTTCGCTATCTTACCTACATTTTCTTTTTTATATACCTATATTTATATAAGTTACAAATTAAACTTAGCACAACTGATTTTTGTTAAAACTGTGAATTTGTTTTGTTCATGATGAATCTCGGAAGAAGAACAGAAAATAAAATTCATTATTTTTTATCTATAATGTAGAATAAGTAAAAATTATTCAATTTTTAACAAGAAAAATATCAACTTTCCGAAAAAACCTTGTTAATTTATTTAAGTTGGAATGATGCATTTTGACAGGTCTCTAATTAATATTTAGATACAATGTATTTATTTTTCAATTTTTCTAGTTGAATTGTTGCTGTAGAGTAGTTTTCACAGTGGAAGCTTGTATTTCACTCAGTCGGTCTTAAATTAGGTTCGACGTACAAAACGTTAGGAACTTGAAATAGTAGTAAATGACGCAGCAATCTAGTTGTGATGGTTGATACTTTAATGTCCGACATCGACTGACCCACTCAACACCACTGAGCTCCACTGGCGACCGTTACTACTACTACTTATCTGTTCGAGAGTCTATTTACAATAGAAATAGGTACGTTCCGGTATAACAATTGTTCATCTATAGTGCATAGGATCCATTATAGTACATAATTAGGTTACAATAAAAAAAAAATATATATATATTAAAGACATTTTTATGTTTAACGTTGTTTTTTATAGATACAAGTATTTAAGTAAATGCTCTGTTTTATAATAAACAGTATTAAATAACATTTACCGGCCTGAATGTCCGAGTAATTTTCATAGAAAATATTCGTCCTTTGACAGGATTCGAACCTGCATCCTATATGGAACCGTCATTTACGCTGACGTGCCTTATCCGATCGGCCACAAAGGAGCGTTCGGTAGACAAGGTCGAATTTACTGCTTATAAACTTCAATCTTCCATGAATCTCGTACATTCATAACT